CTGGACAAGGACAGTATACCGTACACACATTTACAATGGAGGGACAGAAAGCACTCGGACTAAATCTAAAATATCTTAAACTGTGTCCCGAAGATGAACGGAGGTCTGACGGGCTTGGAGCGACATGAGGGAGAGTCATTAATGACATCATTTTCATTTTTGGGTGAACTAACCCTTTAATGCATAATCAACAATAAAAAAGCAGAACACACCCATCTACCTGTTTTGATGTTGAGAGGAACCGGCTCAACCCGTCCAGCACCTGCAGCACCAAAACACTTTGTTATGTACACAAAACTATATAACGTGTTGGGTCATTTTATTTAAGTCCAAATCAATCACTGACCCTGTTTTCCCAGGCCTTGTCCTGCTTTATATCCCATCTTCTGCAGTAACGCAAAGCCTTTATTTTGGCTGCTTATGGAGCTTTGCAGCGCGGCCTCACGACTCTCTCGCTCCTGCTCTCTGAAGCTCTTCTGCCGGTTCTGTGTGTTCTTCTCTTTCTGCACTGCCTCCTTTCTCAAGGCGTCCTTCATACGCTTCACCATCGGCACGCCAGGCCGAACATCTGAGCTGTACGTGTGCAAGAGCATCAAAACAACATGTATGACACAACGAGGAGCTATTTGTGTTGTTTAGCATGTCAGTAGGCTGGAGGACGTGGGAATAATAAATTAATTCTAAACAAACATATGTATTTATTTTATGTTTTTCAGTATTAGCATATTTAACTGGTGTAATATGGGGTTTACACTGATTTCATGTTTAAAAAAGTATGCTATTCTTCAAAGAAGTTGTTGTTTTTTAATGTTTATTTGTTTGTGGTGTCTGTAATGTGCAATGGTGGTGGATGAGTTTCCCCTTACAGGGATTATTAAAGTTTTCTTACTTACTTACAATACGTCAAATAACAAAACATGGCACTGCTGAAAAAACAGCTAAAACATCCTAAACTGGTTGGCTGATTTTGGCCACTTTTTTTTAGCAACCAACTAAAAACAACTGAACACCAGCTTTTACCATGTATTACCATGTTTTTGTTTTAAATAGCAACGCTTCGCCATCATTCATGGCTATTTTAAGTGTTTACACAGCAGATTTTCATGGAATAATGATCTAAGAAACTTACATTACATTTAAACTGACATGTGAACTGTTGATTGCGCTTGAATACAAATGTTACTCCGTGTTTGTTTACATCTAACGCCTTAGCAAACATCAAACTCACTCTGACAGTAACAGGGTATCATTTCAAAACCACGTTTTAAACTCACATTTTGTTCAGGAAAGCGTCGGACATGTAATCATCTTCACCATCAGCCATTTGTGCGATTAATCAGCGATTGAAAGCTGAAATAAAAATGAAATTCTGTGGATCGCTGATGTTGTTCCGTACAGTAAACGAGTCCGACTGGAACGCAGCAGAAAGTGAATTAGGTTCCTATTTACACTGAGAACACCGGGTGGAAAAACATTTACCAATATTTTTATATAAATGTGTACATGTATTTTTATTTTAAAGAAACATATCAAAGAAAATAAAGCAGGTTGGGATTTATTCACTGTTATGTAGACAGGAATACTCTTATATGGAATCCAATAATATCAATGCAACATTTTTGCATTATTTATTCAAGTCAGTTATATTTTTTGCATTTTCTCTAGATTAAATGAGACCTATTTTTCTCAAGTCAAGTATCTTGACTCTTAGCTATTGGATTTGACGGCCTGCATTGTAGATTTCATTGGGGACAGTCTTTTACAAATAATATTTATTTCATAACCTGAAGTAGATCCGGTTATGGCTGAGCTCTTATAATCATGTGTGCTGTTAGTTTACAATGCAATATACTGAAGAAGAGACGCCGTCTTTGTTTGAATAAATATAACTTTATTTTCAAGAAAAACATCTATTATACATGTTCACAAATTAGGTATTTTTTGTATCCTAGTGATTGTATAACAATACATTTGTTTAAAGGCTTTGTAAACGTCCACAACAATTTATAATATCTAATATATTTCTGATTCTGTAATATTGCAGAGATTTACCTCAAGCAGCAGTATTTTTTCTTCAGGAACAATATTAAATAAACCCTTTCCTTCCATGTGCAGGATAAGAAAATTTAGTTACAGACATTTCCCACATTCTTCTACTTTATGAAAACTGCAATAAATGTGATGAATTTCAGAAGTGCATCAGAACTATAGATACAGAAGTATAGTTTTGTTTGATCTCTAAATCTGTAATCTTGCAGATATGACTCATGCTTGCTTTATTATACTTAAATATGAAACAATAGCAGTTGTCAAAGAGTTTTGTTGAATAAAACCTGCAGAAGCTTTTACATTCACAGTTGGTAATGCAACAGACACATACAGTCTAATAAAACAATTAATATTACATAATTTTATAATATGTGTGATATGTAAGGCAGAACAGCCAAAAGATTACAACAAACTGACCAGAACAAAATTGCATAACGCCTCAAATGGCACAACATTTCATGATAATTAAAGGGAAAAAACTTGTGCAAATAATGTTAAATGCAGTGAGGAAAATCAGTGTTCATTCAAAATATAGTTAAAGTGATAAAATGATACAAACGAGAGCAGAGACATCAGATCCTTATTCGCTTTTAGACTGTGAAACTAACTACCAACAATTTGAGACACACACACATACACACTCACTCTCTCTCACACACTCACACAGACACAGACACAAACACACACACACACACACTCACACACTTACACAGACACACACACACACACAAAGACTCACAGACACAAACACACACTTACACAGACACAAACACACTCACACACACTCACAGACACACACACACACAGACTCACTCACACACTCACTCTCTCTCACACACTCACACAGACACAAACACACACACACACACTCACACACTTACACAGACACACACACACACAAAGACTCACAGACACAAACACACACTTACACAGACTCACAGACACAAACACACTCACAGACACACACACACACACAGACACAAACATACTCACTCTCTCTCTCTCTCTCTCTCTCACACACACACACACTTACACAGACACAAACAGACACACACACACACACTCACAGACACAAACACACACTCTCTCTCTCTCTCTCTCTCTCTCTCTCTCTCTCTCTCTCTCTCTCTCTCTCTCTCTCTCTCACACTTACACAGACACAAACACACACACACACACACACTTATATTGACTCACAGACACAAACACACACTTACACAGACTCACAGACACAAACACACTCACACACACTCACAGACACACACACACACAGACTCACAGACACAAACACACTCACTCTCTCTCTCTCTCTCTCTCTCACACACACACACACTTACACAGACACAAACAGACACACACACACACACAGACACAAACACACTCTCTCTCTCTCTCTCTCTCTTGCTCTCTCTCTCTCACACACAGACACAAACAGACACACACACACACACACACACACACACACACAGACACAAACACACTCACTATCTCTCTCTCTCTCTCTCTCTCTCTCTCTCTCTCACACTTACACAGACACAAACACACACACACACACTTATATTGACTCACAGACACAAACACACTCACTCTCTCTCACACACTCTCTCTCTCTCTCTCACACACACACACACACACACTCTCTTTCTCTCTCTCTCTCACACACACACACACACACACACACACACACACACACACACACTCACAGTTTCAGTATCTTTCTGGAGACTCTATAGACAGTGTTATCCTCATAGCCCTGCGCACACCTACAGCTCGTCACTCTCCTGTGTGGGGGCCGCCCGGGGGCCGGAGAACACGACGGGGCCGCCGTCACTCGTGGGAAAAGCAGACTTTACATCCAGGCCGTGTGCGGTGAGAGCAGCGTAGCGACTGGAGCTGATCTGCGTTCTCTTCAGCGGAGGATGGACAGGCTGATGCCACTGAGCTGGAGGACACAACATGAACACAAGCTTGAATACTTTACTATTTTTTTTACTTCACAAATTTACAGTACTGACACATAAAAAAATAGACTCACCATAAATGTCTAGTCTGGCTGTGCATGATATGATCCCAGCCTCGTTCTTGGCAGACACCGTGTACCAGCCAGCATCTTCTTTTCTGGTCGGTTGAATTAGTAGACATACGTAACCTGTAGTGTCCTGATGCATGCTGGGATAGCAAAACAAGTCAAAATATGCTTTTTATTCATTTACTGTATTATCTACTGCATTTAAAGGGTTAGTTCACCCAAAAATGAAAATGATGTCATTAATGACTCTCCCTCGTGTCGCTCCAAGCCCGTCAGACCTCCGTTCATCTTCGGGACACAGTTTAAGATATTTTAGATTTAGTCCGAGAGCTTTCTGTCCCTCCATTGTAAATGTGTGTACGGTATACTGTCCTTGTCCAGAAAGGAAATAAAGACATCATCAAAGTAGTCCATGTGACATCAGTGGGTTAGTTAGAGTGTGTTGAAGCATCGAAAATACATTTTGGTCCAAAAATAACAAAAACTAGGACTTTATTCAGCATTGTATTGTGTTCCGGTTCTGTTGTGGATCGCGTTCAGTGCCGCCGCTGACGTGTGTGTGTGTGTGTGTGTGTGTGTGTGTGTGTGTTCCGGTTCTGTTGTGGATCCGCGTTCAGTGCCGCCGCTGACGTAAGACGCTGCTGACGTGTGTGTCTGGTGTGTGTGTGTGTGTGTGTGTGTGTGTATTCTGGTTCTGTTGTGGATCCGCGTTCAGTGCCGCCGCTGACGTAAGACGCTGCTGACGTGTGTCTGGTGTGTGTGTGTGTGTGTGTGTGTGTGTGTATTCTGGTTCTGTTGTGGATCCGCGTTCAGTGCCGCCGCTGACGTAAGACGCTGCTGACGTGTGTGTCTGGTGTGTGTGTGTGTGTGTGTATTCCGGTTCTGTTGTGGATCCGCGTTCAGTGCCGCCGCTGACGTAAGACGCTGCTGACGTGTGTCTGGTGTGTGTGTGTGTGTGTGTGTGTGTGTATTCCGGTTCTGTTGTGGATCCGCGTTCAGTGCCGCTGCTGACGTAAGACGCTGCTGACGTGTGTCTGGTGTGTGTGTGTGTGTGTGTGTGTGTGTGTTCCGGTTCTGTTGTGGATCCGCGTTCAGTGCCGCTGCTGACGTAAGACGCTGCTGACGTGTGTCTGGTGTGTGTGTGTGTGTGTGTGTGTGTGTGTGTGTGTATTCTGGTTCTGTTGTGGATCCGCGTTCAGTGCCGCTGCTGACGTAAGACGCTGCTGACGTGTGTCTGGTGTGTGTGTGTGTGTGTGTGTGTGTATTCCGGTTCTGTTGTGGATCCGCGTTCAGTGCCGCTGCTGACGTAAGACGCTGCTGACGTGTGTCTGGTGTGTGTGTGTGTGTGTGTGTGACGTAAGACGCTGCTGACGTGTGTCTGGTGTGTGTGTGTGTGTGTGTGTCTGGTGCGCCCGAGCTTCGTCTACAGTCTGAGGGAGACGCACGCTGGAAACAAAACAATCTTCACAAACATGTCTAAGGATTTCCACACAGAGGAAGACTTGCATTTTTTTGCCCAGCCATATTTATTTGAACCCGAATACACGGACACACCAGACAACACACACACACACACACACACCAGACACACGTCAGCAGCGTCTTACGTCAGCGGCGGCACTGAACGCGGATCCACAACAGAACCAGAATACACACACACACACACACACACACACACACACACCAGACACACGTCAGCGGCGGCACTGAACGCGGATCCACAACAGACCCGGAACACACACACACACACACACACACACACACACACACACACACACACACACACACACCAGACACACGTCAGCGGCGGCACTGAACGCGGATCCACAACAGACCCGGAACACACACACACACACACACACACACCAGACACACGTCAGCGGCGGCACTGAACGCGGATCCACAACAGAACCGGAACACACACACACACACACACACACACACACACCAGACACACGTCAGCGGCGGCACTGAACGCGGATCCACAACAGACCCGGAACACACACACACACACACACACACACACACACACCAGACACACGTCAGCGGCGGCACTGAACGCGGATCTCACAAACATCACCTCCCAGTGAACTCACCTAACCCTGTCCTTCGAGTGAGGGATCGTATCATTGTCTTTCTTCCAGTAAATGAGTGGCTGTGGCATTCCCACAACTCTGCACTCGAGACGCACCGGAGCTCCTTCTGCGATGCCCGTGTTCTGCAGCTTCTCCACGAAATACGGAGCCTGCTTCAGCTCTTTTTCTGCACATGTTTATTCAACAGGGCAAAAGAGGATCAAATATTTTATGCACAATTTATATTGGTTAGCTAATTCTTGCATTTGAGCGAGAGGTTTTTAAAATCAAGCATGTTCTTACTTGCTGACTCTGTATTACATGCAACTAAACTCGATCTTAACGATAATGAGGAGGACTTGCAATAAATCACCCATCGTGTAAAAATTATACTCTTACAAGTCAGCTGTTTCACTGATAGACACCACTGGTCATCTTCAACATTTCTGATGCGCTTTATGGAAGACCATTTCTACCTCATAAGAAACAAATCCTGCTTTGGTAAATCATAATGATGAGATTAAAAAGTTAAAATTATGACCAAAACAAAATTGTAATTATGAAATTAAAGAGTCGAAAATGAGATGAAAAGTCAAAATTATGACCAAAAGTCAAGAGATTTTTTTTAAAATTATGACTCGCTCAATAAATATGAGATAAAAAGTCAGAATTATAATTTCAGCTGCCATAATTCTGACTTTTTATGTCATATTTATTGAGTCACTATGTCATAAATCTGACTTTTTAATCTCATTTTTATTGAGTTTGTCATAATTCTGATTTATGGCATATTTATTGAGTTAGCCATAATTCTGACCTTTTTTATCTAAATCTTGACTCTCATAATTGACTTAGTATGTCATAATTTCGGCTGCCATAATTCATAAGTCAATTATGAAAGTCAAAATTGAGAGAAAAAAAGTCAGAATTTTGGCTAACTCCATAAATATGCGATAAAAAGTAAGAATTATGGCAGCCGAAATGATGACAGTTAAATTTCATAAAGGTAAAATTATGAAATTATTGTAATTATGAAATTAAAGAGTTGAAAATGAGATGAAAAAGTCGAAATTATGACCAAAAGTCATGAGAATTTTGTTGGGGAATTATGATATACAAACTCAATAAATATGAGATTAAAAGTCAGTATTATAATTTCAGCTGCCATAATTCTGACTTTTTATGTCATATTTATTGAGTCACTATGTCATAAATCTGACTTTTTAATCTCATTTTTATTGAGTTAGTATGTCATAATTCTGATTTATGGCATATTTATTGAGTTAGCCATAATTCTGACTTTTTATTTAAATCTTGACTCTCAGAATTGACTTAGTATGTCATAATTTCGGCTGCCATAATTCATAAGTCAATTATGAAAGTCAAAATTGAGAGAAAAAAAGTCAGAATTTTGGCTAACTCCATAAATATGCGATAAAAAGTAAGAATTATGGCAGCCGAAATGATGACAGTTAAATTTCATAAAGGTAAAATTATGAAATTATTGTAATTATGAAATTAAAGAGTTGAAAATGAGATGAAAAAGTCGAAATTATGACCAAAAGTCATGAGAATTTTGTTGGGGAATTATGATATACAAACTCAATAAATATGAGATAAAAAGTCAGTATTATAATTTCAGCTGCCATAATTCTGACTTTTTATGTCATATTTATTGAGTCACTATGTCATAAATCTGACTTTTTATCTCAGTTTTATTGAGTTAGTATGTCATAATTCTGATTTATGGCATATTTATTGAGTTAGCCATAATTCTGACTTTTTATCTAATTCTTGACTCTCATAATTGACTTAGTATGTCATAATTTGTGATGTACCTTAGGACCCCCTCGAAAACGAGATGATGCATCTCAAGGGGTTTATCCTAATAAATAAATTTGAAATATAATTTCGGCTGCCATAATTCATAAGTCAATTATGAAAGTCAAAATTGAGAGAAAAAAAGTCAGAATTTTGGAGGCCCTAGGCAATATTCATGTTGGAGGCCCCCCACCCCCAATAAAAAACTCTTGAAACATATATGATTCCTAACCTTTTAATTTATACAACGTTTAATTTTGAATGTTTTTACTTACACAGTACATAAGTTTGGACACATTACTATTTTTAATGTTTTTGAAAGAAGTCTCTTATGCTCATCAAGCCTGGATTTGATCAAAAATACAGAAAAATAATATATATTGAAATATTATTAAAATTTAAAATAATGGTTTTCCTATACTATACTTTAAAATATATTTCTGTGATGCAAAGCTGAATTTAGTGTCATGTGATCCTTCAGAAAACTTTATAATATTCTGATTTATTATCAAATGTTAGAAATGGTGCTTAATATTTATTTTATAACCTGTGATACTTTTTTGAGGATTTTTTTTTATTATTAAAAAGTTGTTTTGAAAAAGTCTTCACTATCACTTTTTATATATTTAACACTTCCTTGCTGAATATTCCTGTTTTTTTTTTTTTCTGTATTTTTGATCAAATAAATGCAGGCTTGTAGAGCATAATAAAAAACTTCTTTCAAAAACATTAAAAATAGTAATTGGTCCAGACTTTTTACCAGTAGGCTACTGCATGTACATATTATCAAACTTAATCTAAGGTAATCTCTTTTTTGTTTAATGAAGATGTTATTGTTATTGTTATTTTGCTGTTTTATTCAATTTATTCACATTTCCAGAATACCACTTCAGTGATATATGCTTTTATAATTTTTTTGATAGCTGCGGTATGGGCAGGATTTCCCCTCCCATTTAATCAATATTGACTGCAGATAATGTCATATTATTAATATAAGTAATATGATATTATGCATTGCTAGCTTAAATATGCTAGTATACACAAATCAAGTGGAAGAGAAAGACACGATCGCTACTGATTAGAAAAAAAAAATTCTAAACTGATATTATTGGCGCGAGTAGGCTGATGTCAGACAGGGTATAATCTAATCATCAGCAGAATTTAGAAGATAGACCCATGAGATCCTTTATTTGAAACATTTAAAATGTAGTAGTGTGTTGGCTTTTTAACTTTGAATACAAACGTCCTGTCTTTTACTTTTGTGGTGTTTTTAGTCAGCTCCCGACACGATGTTATTCATTGTATGCGCAAATTCAAAGCGCCGCGTCTGGGCACGTTAATGACGCTCGCTCTCTTTTAAACTCGTAATAAAGCGGTGAATGATTTTGTCCAGAAATGACGCTGATCTACAGTACAAGTTTATATTTAGAATACATTGCAATCACTCCAAAATAGATGACGACAACGCACACACCTGCATTAGAGCTGTGCTTCTTTGCGTGCCTATTTAGACTTTTGCTTCGCAGCACCTGATGGGCTGGCGTTAATGTGACGTAATGTAACAGTCTATGGTTAAGATAAACATCGTCACTATTTTTTAGTTAATTAATAAATATTGAAATAAATTGTAGATAGGATATTTTTTTTATTTTTTTTATTTTTGTCCTTCTGTCTGGGCCCCTTCCCACCAATCGGACCCTAGGCACGTGCCTAGTTTGCCTTTGCGTTAATCCGGCTCTGCATAGATACAAAATCAATTATGAGAGTCAAAATTTAGATAAAGTCATTATGACAGTCGAGATTATGACATCATAAATCAATTATAAGAGCCAAAATTGACAAAGTTGAAATTGAGATAAAAAGTCACAATTATTATGACACTCATTATGAGTTGAAAAGTCATTAGGACAGTTGAAATTATGACATCATTGTGAAGTATGCGATAGTCAAAATTGACAAAACGTTACACGATAAAAAAAATTAAGTAAGTCAAAATGGAAAGAGAATTTACTTGATAATTATGTAAATTTCGACTTTTTATCTCAATGTTGACTGTCATAATGATTTTTTTTATCTCATGATTGACTTTTTGTGTCACAATCGTGACTTATCTCATAATGTTGATCACACTTATGATTTCCCAAAGGATGATAGTTTCTTAAATGTCAGAAATGAGCATCAATCGCAGTGTGAAGCGTGTCTCTCACCCACGACTTTGAGCTGGAGGCAGAAGGAACTCTGTCCCGCTTTATTCGAGGCGATGCAGGTGTACGTCCCGTCGTCAGCTTGAGTCAGAGGATCAACAACCAGAGAATGGATCCCGTTTTCTCGCACAAGCATTCGATGAGTTATGTCGGGATATATGGGCTTCCCGTTCAGAAGCCACATGATCTCAGGATGAGGTAATCCGCTCACCTACACAACAGAGAACGGTTCAGACAACTCAACTAAAATAAGTCAAAACATGCAACGTCAAGCTCTCAGCAATATGTTATTCTTCAGTGTATTGGACACTAGCAGAGGCCCCAAAAAGTGTTTGAGTCTTAGTGATAAGAGTCACTTTGAAATTCGACAAAAATGGTTTTAAACGATACAACAATAGAATAGATACAGCAAAAAGAAGTGCACTTAATCCTATTGAATGCGCACTTGCACTTTTTATTTTACTTATAAGTTTATTTATATAGGTACAAAAAAACATGATTCCAGTCAAAAACTGAAAGAAAAAAAACTGTACTTGCAGATAATATAATATTAATTAAATAAAAGACCACTTAAATGTATTTAAAGAGAGTTCACTTTCATGACTATGTTTCTCTACACAGTTTAGTAAAAATTTGATTGTAAATCATTGTTTTAATAATCTTTTGTTGTACTTTACAGAAGTACACTTATTTTGATGTGTGGACTAACATACTAAAGCACATGTGAAGTACTTAATTATAATTTAACTAGTGTTTCATTCAATGTAACATTTAAAAATTGAATGTACCAAATTGAAAACTTCATCATTCCACATATTTAATTACTAATATATTTAAATACATGACAGGCATTATATATAGTTTATCAGAATTCATTTATATATTTATTTATGAATAATATAAATATATACACACACACACACACACAGTATATATTTAATAATATTTATTTATTTAAAAATTGCTATTTTTCCATAAATGCTTGTCCGTGCATTCGGCGGTAATCTTTGACCATATTTCAATTTTAAGAATTATAAAATTTCATATGAAGATGTACTTAATACTATTTTTGATCCAATTAAGTCTTCAGTTGAAATAACTGCATTTAATATACATTTAAACTATTAATACATTTTAATTTAATTGCAATTAAGTGTCTAAAAAACATTCCATTCAGTTCAGGTGTGTATTTATGTAAAGTATATTATTTCTGCATTAAGTAAATGCTAAATTATACTGTAAATGAAGACCCTCAGTCCTGTGTAGCGCAGTGTGTGTGTGTGTGCGCGTGCGTGTGTGTATATGTGTGTGTGTGTGTGTGCATGTGTGTGTGTGTGTGTGTGCGTGCGTGTGTGTGTGTGCGTGCATGTGTGTGTGTGTGTGTGTTTGTGTGTGCGTGCATGTGTGTGTGTGTGTGTGTTTAGTGGATGATGTGTTGAACTCCACCTGTGGTTCCTCTGCTAGGACACCGAATGCAGAGATATTCAGACGTGTCGAGTGCTCAGATGTGTTTTGTGTTCACTGTAGGGTTCACATGTGCAGTACCTTGCAGTCCAGCCGACAGAGCCGGCCCTCGTGGGCCAACATGTCCCCTGGAGCCTGCAGAAAGTGTGGACGAAAGAAGCGTTCTTGAGCCGGTTCTCCCTCCACTTCTTGTACCCGCGCTCGGACTCTGTGGAAAATGATGAGTGATGACAGAAATATTATGCATACAAGCAGTGTTGGGGAAAGTTACTTAGAAAAGTAATGCATTTACAATAGTGCGTTACTCCATTAAAAAGTCACTAATTGCATTACTTAGTTACGTTCCAAGAAAAGTAAAGCATCACGTTACTTGGGCTGGGCTTGTTTTATTTTTAAATAACAAAAAAGTTCTGTTTTTGGGCACATTTAAAGGCCCTTTCTATGGAAGCTTTTTTCCGCCACTCAATAAAAAAAATAAAAAAATAATTGCGACTTTTTATCTCACAATTGCGAGATATGAAGTCAGAATTGTGAGAAATAAAGTCGCAATTGCGAGATATAAAGTCGCAATTATGAGAAATAAAGTCGCAATTGCGAGAAAAAAAGACAGAATTGCGACAATTCTGACTTTTTTTCTCACAATTGCGAGTTTACATCTCGAAATTCTGACATCTTTTCTCAGAATTGTGAGATATAAACTCGCAATTGCGAGTTATCAGGCCAATTCTAAAGGGGAAAAAAGACTAACTTCTTCCCCCTCAGAATAGTTTATATCTCACAATTCTGACTTTATAACACGCAATTGCGACTTTATATCAATCAATTCTGACTTTATATCTCGCAATTGCGACTTTATATCAATCAATTCTGACTTTATATCTCGCAATTGCGACTTTATATCAATCAATTCTGACTTTTTATTTTTCATTCAGTGGCGGAAACAAGCTTCCATACCTTTCAGACCAAAAAAAAAAATCAAAAATTCTGATAATGCAAGAATAGGATGCAGAAGCTTTGGGGAAGAAAGTATATTTTTACTTAAAAATTAATATATTTATGGTACATTTCTTGTTTGTTTGGAAGACACTCTTAATTAATTTGTAATGTACTTGTAATACCAAAAAGTACGCTTTTATATCACTAATCAAGCATTAAAATATACGTATGCACTTAAAGTGTACTAAGTATACTTGAAATTGTCTCAATTTAGCATCAAAAAGTACACTAAATACACTTAAAGTTATACTTTAGTATAATTTAATTATAACTAAAATACACTTAGTACAAAAAAATTTATCCAGAATAGCACACTTCAAGTTAACTAATCATTAACACACTTGAAGTATACTGACAATTAGTCTGGCTGCAAGTACACTTAGCATACTTTTTTTTCACTAGGGAAGAAAAAAGTTTAACACTACCAATAAAAACAAAAAATCTAAAGTAATTTTTGCTTATGGTTTAACTGAACCATCGAAGATTCAGTACATTGGTCAATAAAATGAGATTATTAAATGCATATTTGTTTTATTTAACATATTTAATTATTCGAGGTTTGCGTATTATTCTGATTTAGCATTTTATAGTTTTTATTAATTTTGAGGAATACTGAATCTTTTGTGCAAGCGAGATGAGTAAATGCATGCTCACATTTAGTCTAGAACGACAATAACCATCATGTTCTTACACACAACGCCTCTGCACTCACTCTCGATGTTTTTCAACATGAGGACAGCTGTCAGTCAATAAATGGTAAAAGTAACTTGCGTCACTCATTTGAAAAAGTATCTCAGATATTTTGTTGTAAATTTAAAAGTAATGCGTTACTAGTTGCTTGAAAAAAGTAATCTGATTACGTAACTTAAGCTACTTGTAATGAGTTACACAACACTGCATACAAGTCTATTAAAGGGGTCATATAATGGTACATGCACTTTTACAAGTTGATTGTACTGAAATGTGTGTTGGCAGTGTCTGTACACAAACATCATAATATGATAAAAATCCATCCAGTGTTTTTGTTTTAATCTCCTTATATGTTTTCCCCTGCCTCAAATCAAGCCGTTCGATTTTGTGAAGACACACGCTCGGAAGCCCCTCCCACGATTGTTGATTGACAGGAGCGTTTCAACACAGACCCGCCCTCGCTCGTGAGAGCTGTCAATCATAGTCTGCGCGGACCGGCGCGGTCATTGTTGATATGCTGGAGCACTGTCTATGAGCAGAATGGCGTCTGAGCGATTGTGGTGTTCTGTTCTTGGGTGTAATAACGAACACAGTCATTTTAATGTTCCTAAATCCGAACCGCTGAAGACGCAGTGGCTGAGTTTGTTTTCGAAGGGAATATTCCCCACGAGCAACGTCGTCAATGCTCTCATGTTTGCGCGAATCATTTCTCACCAGACTGCTTTATAAACGAGGATCAGTATGAGCTGGATTTGCTAAGAAGCTGCTTATGAATAAAGGATCGGTACCAGATATTCGTGTTCCTGCTGAACCTCCAGAAGAACTGAAGTGAGTGTAACGTTTTATTAAACTTTATATTCATATTTATATTAATCTTTGCAAATCGCCAGCTGCACGCTTCACAATGAATGCGTCTAAGGTTTACACTCAGGGTACATTACGGCATGTTTTCTATGTATGATGTTCTCAATATAATTCATAATCCCACGTTTATACTGAACAACGCGTTATGGTTATTGTGTTATTGTGTTATTGAGTTACAAACGGTGTACGCACAGAACAGAGAGGCGGGGTGAGCAAAGCTCATGATCATTTAAAGTCATATGCACTGAAACGGCGTGCTGAAAACAGAGCTGTTTTTGACCAGGTAAAATAAGTGTTTTCTTACAATACTAATGAGAATTTTTAATTAAAGTATATTACAAACTTTTAATTTAGACCCTAAAGAATCATATTAGCTTGTACAAAAATGGCATTATATGACCCCTTTAAACGTCAGCCATTGCAACTGGATAAGAACGTAATGAAAGCTGATGCAACTCACCTCTGAGAGTGAACCATGGGCCGGTTTCGCACGGGACCCGTTTGGACAATCAAATGACCAGAGCAGCTTATTCTACCCTGAGGACATGACAAGAGGCTTGGCTTTTATTTCAACTATAATTCAATGGGATTTCTTCTGGTTGTCTTTGCTGCCGTTACCTGTGGATTTGCTGCCATGACTGTATAATTGCCGTCATCGTCGTTTGTAGCGGCTTCTATGTGTAGCGAACACGTCCCATCACCCTCTCTGATCTTCCTGTAGTGCTCGTTCTTCTTCAAAATCTGCTTTCCATCCTTAAACCAGTAAACCTGTGGGAAGAGTACAAAATAAAAGTCCATCAACATGCAGTTTGAAGACAGAACTGAAAAATACGTTTCTGTTCTGCTTAAAGACTTTAATATTTTCATATATGACAATATTTTTTTGTTGTTGTTGTGGAAATTACAGTTTGAGAAGAAGTTTTATTCATTCATATTTATTTATTTATTCATTCTAAAGAAATTAAGTATTAGAAAGAACATTTTAAATTGATTAAAAAAATGATGGTGAAGACATTTATAATAGTACAAAATATTTATATTTCAAATAAACAGTATTTTTTTATCATGGTTTTCACAAAAATATGAATCAGCGCAAATGCTTTCAACATTGATAATAATCATAAATGTTTCTTGAGCACCAAATCCTCATATTAGAGTGATTTCTGAAGGATCATGTGACACTGAAGACTGGAGTAATGATGCTGAAAATTCAGCTTTGATCACAGGAATAAATTACACTTTACTGTATATTCACATAGAAAACTGCTGTTTTACATTGTAATAATATTTCACTGTTTTTACTGTATTTTTGATCAAATAAATGCAGCCTTGATGAGCAGAAGAGACTTCTTTCAAAAAACATTTATAAAATCTTCACAATGAAACTCTTATTTTCTGTGCATGCATTACAATAACATCCCAGAATCCCTCAGTCTGTCAAACGCTCACCTTAGGGATTGGAATTCCAACGACTTTGCAGGTAAATGTGACGGGAACGCCTTCCACGGCCCTTAAGTGCTTCAGTTTCTTGTCGAAAATGGGCGCGATGCATCTTCCAGTGGGAATTTCATCATGCTGAACTTCATCATCCGACTCTTCGACTGGAGTTCGTTCCAAACGAAACCCAATCTCACTCATTAGCCGCTGCTCAAAGCTCGACACCTTGTATTCCTACAAAACACATATTTACGAATGATCTTATCTGGTCATAAACGTGTCCCGTTTATGTTTGCATACATCTAAATGAAAAAAAACTTTGGAAACGTCTCTCCGGGATCTGTGGAAACATTATCCACAGTAGCTAACTGCATGTTAAAGTTTTCTTAAAAATGTCGGTAACGCTTTAGATTACAGCCCGGAAAGTACTGCGTAATTAAAGCAATTTTACAGCGTAACCTTCGGTAATTATAGTGTACCTATAACGTACTTACAATATAAGTATAAGGGAACAATATTTTAAGTTTGGGGAATAAAGGGGTAACAACCAGGAGAATAAAAAAGGGGTTCTTATTCTACTATTATGATACAACAATCTTACATTTAGGAGCAATTTAGCGAGAACACTGCGTACCTTTTTGAAATAATGGTGAACCAGTACATACTGTATAGGCTTTTTAAAAATTACAGGGTACATATCTATGCATTTATAAAGTAAACTTTTAACAAAAGTGCACTGAAAACCAAAACTATTGCAACTTTTGCTTAAATATTGGGGAAAGATACTCTTGTTTCATGTAGTGGTGCTTGTTACCCCTTTGTTCCATGTAGTTACAGGGTAAGTACAATAAAAATGCACACACACAATCTTATATCACTGACTCGGAAACCTTTATTTATTATACAAGCATCACTTACCCTGTAACCACATGAAACATCATATATTTCCCAGTATTTAAAAAAAACTCGCAATAGTCTTAGCTTTTCTTGCCTTGAAACATGTTAGCCCAAACTTAAACATCTGCACTTTTGCTATATATATATATAAAAAAAAAAAGTATAAATGCATAGATATGTACCCTGTAATTTTTAAAAAGCCTATACAGTATGTATTGGTACACAATTATTACAAAAAGGTATGCAGTTCTCGCTAAATTGCTCCCAAATGTAAGATTGTTGTATCATAATAGTAGAATAAGAACCCCTTAGTTATATAATACTTACAGATTTTTTTTTTTTTTACCCCTTTATTTCCCAAACTTTACATATTGTTCCCTTATACTTACATGCAAGTACTTTATAGGTACACTATAATTACCGAAAGTTACTCTGTAAATTCCTCTTAATTACACAGTACTTTCCGGGCTGTAATCTAAAGCGTTACCAAAATGTCTAAAAAATACAATCATACAAATCAAGATTTATCTAATAAATGACGATGCTAATCAGTGGTCAGGTCACCAGATGAAATCAGTGACACATTTTAAATTGTGCAAACCGATTACAATAATAACATAACATTATAATATGAAGTCTTAAAAGCAAACTAGCCCTCCAAACGTCATGTTCCGGGGGTTAGAGAGGGTAAACGGGCATATAAAACTAAATTAGGACTGTTTTCATGCAAAAAAACATTCCCAAAGTATGATATGAACCCTATAATATTCCTTCCTATTTAGTACCTATTAGTATATCAAGTTGCCCGAACAGCCCGTCTGTCTTGATAAAAACTGGGCGACCGCCAACATCTCTAATGTAGTCACCTCTATTTATAATACAGAACGGCCCTGTTCATTCCTATCCCTGTCTAGTCTCTCAAGCACTCATGTTTACACAGACGCCGCTTGCATTCACATAGACACTGTGTTTGAGAGGAAAACACAACAGCCTGTACTGTATATGGTTGTATGTAATGCTCATGTCATTATTGCTTCTGTTGGAGAAATCCATTGAACACCGATATTAATATTCTCATTTAGTTAGTACGTATAACATGTAGCATTTAATTATATATATATATATATATATATATATAAAAAAAAAAAAAATTATACACACAGTACACACACATATATTATGTAAACACAAACAAACTTTATTAATCGTTTCTCATGCATAATCTCTTATGACAGAATTCTAGTTAGAGTATTAGTTACAATTAGGGCTGTGAAAACGATTAATAAATAAATATAAAGTTATAAATGAAAATAAAAATGTGTGTTTACATAATATATGTGTGTGTACTGTGTGTATAATTATTTTGTATATATAAATACACACACATGCATGTATATATTTAAGAAATATTTGTATATACTGTATATATATTTATATATAATCTATATTATATATAAATACACACACATGCATGTATATTTAAATATATATACAGTATATACAAATATTTCTTAAATATATACATGCATGTGTGTGTATTTATATATACAAAATAATTATACACACACATATATTATATAAACACAAAGCTTTTTTTTGGATGCGATTAATCGTGATTACAATGACACTGCTATATTTTTATCATTCGTTAAACTGAGGTTTTAATGATAAATCTTGCGGATTTGCAAATAATTTTGGCCTTTACAATATTTAAACGTTCTGCATCTTCCTCTAATCTGAGTTATTATGCATGCAGCTCCATTAGTGGAAAAAGCTACCGCTTTATAATAACTCCGAAAGATTTGTTTCTTGTTTTCATTCAAATTAATTCTTATATGTTGATTAAAAAGAAATACAGAACAAAGCACTGCTTGCAATGGAGAAGATGCCTTGTACCTCGTCATAGTTAATGACAGTCGCAGTGGGAATGTTTGGTCCGAGCGATCGGCTCACTTCCCCCACATAACTCGGCTTCTATGGAGGACAGGATGAATGACGGTGATGGAAACACAGAGACTAGTCACACATCAAGACAAATGTGTGTTTTAGTGTTACTCTGACAGTGTTAATATGGGTCATGATGATGCGGACGCATATTTGACACATGAAATGATTTAGCATGTGAAAAGGGTGATTCTTTCTTACATGGAAGATCTTCACTGATGCATATATATATATATATATATATATATATATATATATATAGTCAAGTCCAGAATTAATGGCACCCCTGGTAAATATGGACAAAACTGGCTGTAAAAAATACATCTGCATTGTTTATCCTTTTGATCTTTCATTTAAAAAATTGGCAAAATTCTAACCTCTCATTGAAGTAAAAGAATTGAAAGTGAGGGGGGGGGAATCACATTATGAAATAAATGTTTTTCTCCAAAACACGTTGGGCACAATTATTGCCACCCTTTTATTAAATACTTTTTCCAATCTCTTTTTGCCAAGATACCAGCTCTGAGTCTTCTCCTATAATGCCTGATGATTTTGGAGAACAACTGACCTGAGATCAGAGACCGTTCCTGCATACAGAATCTCTCCAGATCCTGCAGATTCCCAGATCCATGTTTGTGCTTCTTCTCTTCAGTTCTGCACTCATCAGGTCAGGGAACTGGGACGATCATGACAGAAGCTTCATTTTGTGCTCCGTAACTAATTTTTGTGTTGTTTTGGATGGTTGTCATGATGGAAGATCCAACCACGGCCCATTATAGGATTTCTAGCAGAAGGCGTCAGCTTTTGATTTTTTATCTGTTGATATTTGATAGAATCCACGATGCCATGTATCTGAACAAGAAGTCCAGGACCTCCAGCAGAAACATATGGCCACAACATTAAAGATCCAACGATATATTAAATTGTACACATGGGGTACTTTTTATCCTTGTGTGCACCAAACCCATCTAGCGTGTTTGCTGGCAAAAAGCTCTTTTTTAGTTTCATCTGACCACAGAAACCTGTCCCGTTTGAAGATCCAGCCGTGTCTGACAACTGAATATGCTGGAGTTTGTTTTTGGAGGAGCGAGGAAGATTTTTCTTGAAACCCTCCCAAACAACATGTGGTGATTTAGGGGTTGTTTGATTTTTATTTTATAGGCTTTGTGACCCCAAAGACTCAACTAGTCTCTGCAATTCTCCATCTGTGATCCTTGAAGAGTCTTTGGCCACTCAAACTTTCCTCCTCGCCGTGCATTAAGGCAATATAGACACACGTCCTCTCCTGGCAGATTCACAACATCTTTAGTTGATTTGAACTTCTTAATTATTGCCCTGATGGTCAAAATGGGGATTTTCAATTCTTTAGCTATTTTCTTACAGCCACTTTCTATTTTGTAATGGTCAACAATCTTTTGATGCACATCAGAACTATATTCTCTGGTTTTACTCATTGTGATGGATGATTAAGGCAATTTGGCCTTTGTGTTTCCTTATATTTAAACTGTGAAACAAGAAGTCATGGCTGGACAGTTTCATGTTCCTAGTCACCCTGGTGTGCTAAAAAAGGTCAATATGAATGGGAATATCCTTCAGAGATATTTTACTGATTTCCCCCCCACTTTTAATTCTTTTACTTCAATGAAAGGTTAGAATTTTGCCAATTTTTTTAATGAAAGATCAAAAGGATAAACAATGCAGATTTATTTTTTATAGCTAGTTTTGGTCATATTTACCAAGGGTGCCATCAATTCTGACCATGACTGTACATATATATATATATGCATGTATTTTTCTACAGTATATATTATATCTATAGTATATATTTCTACTATACACTAGTCAAAATATTTATATATATATATATATATATCAGTATATGTATGTATATATACACACACATACACACACGTACTATATATCCAAATAAATATATGGAGATATAAAGACCACAAACAGAAATTAGGTTTTCATTGATAAGGGACAGATAGCAATACTTTAAAATTGAAAGTATTCAGTTTCTAAAAGTCCTCAAATCATGTATCATGTATATTTGCATTTAAAATCAACATGAAACACTCGCACATCAAACAACCTGAAGTATGTCTATGAAAAATAGAATTTCAAATTAGAAAAGTGGATTTGATTTCATGTTGATATTAAACAGCTTTTAACTGTAAGTCCTAAATCATTTTTTTTAAGGAGCTTTACAGAACAACTATATATTTACAGTATTTCAATCTCTCTCTCTATTTTTGCTAGTATAATTAAGAAGGTCTAGCTATTTTGACATGAAGGGTAGCAAAGATTTATTTGAGAGTAGAGACTGATCTAACTGTGGTACTTGTAATATATTGTATGTATGCCATGTTATCTATGAGGATATTTTTCTTCCTTATTCCGTCTCCAACTCCATCAATCAGTGTTTTCTATAAGCCCACACAAACACTATTACAAACCAAGATTATAATTGTGTCACATAAAGAAACTCAATCTAAACTAAAGCAGATAATTCAATCTAAACTAAAGCAGATGAGCAACCCTATTTCTACTACACACTAGTCAAATTACATCTTTGTAATATTTATGACACGTTGTACCTGTTGTCCAAAATGATGTGGTTCATCTTTAAATCGCAACGTCTTCTCAATATCTTGTAAGAGTGTTTCCCTGCTTTCGCGGAGGTCACTATCGGACATGAGTCTGGAGACTCTTTGATTCTTCTTCAGTGAACTTTGAGGCCTGGACATGGAGTAACACAACAAGACTGAGGTAAGAAACACAAGAAGATAAGCAAACCCTAACCATAAGCTGCCCTTAGAATCACAGGGAAAAGGTTTAACTTTAACCCTTAAATCTCACTGGCTGATTGGAATGACTTAATTGGGTAAATCACATTAAAGGAACAGTTCACCCAAAAACGAAACTCCCCATTGACAGTCTTTCTTTAATGCAACACAATAAAGGGATTTTTTTTAAGAATATTGAGTGACCTTTCTTTTCAATATAGTGAAAACGAAAGGGTGCTGGGGGCTTGTCAAGCTCAAAAATGACATAAAAAATCATAAAAGTAGTTATTCCCAGAGAATCTTGACAGCCACTCTTCTTGAAACTTTTGTGAAAGTTTATAAGAGAAACAGTTATGAACAAATCAGTCATGAGTCAAATCTTTTCAATGAATCAGTTGATTCAGTTCATTCGTTCACAGATCTGTTTCTTTATTTAAACGTATTGACTTACTGATGTAGTCACAACAATTAACAGCCAACTGGAGTGCTTAGATCATAGATTAGGTTTCAAAAGATTATAGAATATAATAGTCACACAGACTATTTTTATAATAGTTTTATGGTGCTTTTTCACCCTTTCTGAAGCTTGAGACGAGCAACACTTTTATTGTATTGAAAAATAAGATCAGCCAGGATATTCTACAAAAAAATCCACATTTGGTGTTGCATAGAAGAAGAAATTCAAATGTAAATGGACGAGTAAACAATTTGTACGTGAACTACGAGCAAGCATTTTTAAAAAAAAAATCATTTTCACAAAATGTATCAAATTGTATTATGCAATATATCAAAAGAAAGAACATATCTCTGCTTTTAAACAAAAAAATAGGTTTTATTCTAGCTTAATCCAATCTTTTTTTGTTTTCAACACTTGTGGGTTGTGGTTAAGTTTAGTAAAAATAGCTCAATTTTGAGCAAAAAGCTGAAAAAAACACATTTATGTCAAAGACTAAGTCTGGATCAGATCCAGAACGATGATCAAAGCACAGATGGAGTAGGTCGAGTCCATCAACACTCCCAAAGCTTCACAGTCCTGCACCTCGTCCTGGGTCGACATTTCATTCAGTAACATTAGGCAGTTTTGATTTATATGCCGTTTAATGTTGATGATTGCATTATTTTACACATGCACATCTGCTTACATATGATATTGCTTGATTCTGCTTCTTCTTTGCCTGTGTTTTGATCAGGAGATTCAGTAACATTTTAATTCCTTTAAATGAAATGAATCTCCTGATCAAAACACAGGCGAAGAAGAAGCAGAAACAAGCAGATGCATATGTACAATTATGCAATCATCAACATTAAACAGCATACAAATAAAAAATGCCTAATGTTACAGAATGAAATGCCGACTGAAATACTCTTTTAGAAGATGTGTAATAGCGCCCCCTACTGTATAACGGTGAAAACGCGGAAAGCCAGAAATTTTCGTCAATGGCAGGGAAAGAGTTAATGTTGTGTTGGGTGTTTGCTTACCCAAGTGGGGCTCTTTTAGGCAACCCCATTGCATTGGTCGGAGGAGATGTTGGCAGTGAAGGAAGGACAGAACTAAGGAAGGCCACTGGATTTTGGATGGGGCTGGGGCTGGAGCTGCTAGAGGTAGACGGAGAAGAAGCTTGTGGTGGAGACTGAGTTCTGAAAGAAAACACTGAATTCACCAGGCCAGGAGGCAATAGAGGTGGTGAGGACACATATGGGGGGCTTCTCGGAGACTCCAGAACTCTTGTTGGAAACTTTCTTGGGGACGGAGCGAACTGGTTGACGGGCGACGTGATCTCCCGCGTTGACTTTGGGAATATCTGTGCAGCTAATTCGTGTAGCATTGGAACAGGAGACTCAGTTGGAGAAAGACTCCTGATAGGAGAGAGCGTCTGAGCTGCGATAAACTCCTTTGGCCTGGTGTAGCTGAAGCTCTGGGCGGAGATCGGAAAAATCCCGGGAAGTGGAGGCTGGGGGGTGTTGTTCAGTTGAGGTGGAGACATTGGACTCGGGATGGGCGCAGGTGGATTTCTCACCAGATGCGGTGAGGTGATGATACTCAGGGGTGGATAGGACACATTTTGAGAACGTGTGTCTTGTGGAGCCATGCTGGGATGAGTAATTGAGGTGGTGTTTAACTTTGGTGCAGTGTTGTTCACCACTGCTGCATTAGGGGTCATCAATGCTTGTGTTTTGGCAACACACATGTCACTATTGGGAACAGAGTTCATCTGGAAGGTTGGATTCATGTTCATTTGTGATATATGACTGGAAGGAGTAATGGGTGGCTTATTGGTCACGTAGTTAGGGTTTGGTTGGATGGATGGAGCCATGATAATTTGAAGAAAAGGCATAGAATGTCCCACATTTGATTGAGGGATGTTGGGAGGTCCTGTAGGTTGAGTTATTGGGATTATTGGTATCACACTTGGCATAGGAGCCACATTGGTTGAGATAGGCACCGCATTTTTGGGGGGTATTAAGGTAGAAGGAACCATACTTGGTGGAACAGTATTTAACGAAGTAGTAGGAACCAGATTTTGTTGAGGTGAAGGAGGATGGGTGTGTAAGGTTGTGGCTGATGGAGTAAGTTGGGGCAAGGGCATGGAATTGGTTAAAGGCATGCTCAATTGGGATACAGGAACTGCTTTTAATATGGGAGCAGGCAGTACAGGTGCTGCAGGGATGGATGCAGGGATCAGCTGTGGAATTGGACCAGAGTGAATTACGAGAGGTGGTCGGAGTGGAGTTGGCACTGGATTTGCAAGAGGTTGAGTTGGCGTGACAGGCGGTGGCTCACAATTTGTCCCGTCTAAATGTGTTAACTCTTGGCTTGGGGAGACGTTATCCTGCAGCTGTTCCAAAAGCACCTGATTGTGGAGGATCTGAAGCTGCACTGGGTCTCTAGGATAAGAGAAAACAAGGAGAAATCAAATGCATTGTATCTATTTCAGAAGGTCCTAAAATGTTGTCTTGCAACATTCTGAAGTTGGTACTTACAATTTTGGTTTAGCCAACACCGGTGGGGGTTCTTTGGATGACATTTCTTTCTCTTCTTCTTCATCCTCCGGGAGTTTAAAGGTTACGCGGAGACCAGCTCGAGAAGTAGAGCGGGGTTCATTGTGATTCCCTAACACACCCTCGGGTCTTGTCTTGAGGCAAGAAGTTGGGGGATCCGGTAGGGGTTTAACAGGTGGTTGCTCTTGATGGTTACTGATGTTTACTGATTGGGGACTAGTAACAGAAAGGCAGGAGGTAGATTTTGAACCATTTGGTGATGGTTCAACCCAGGGATCCAAGTTCAGAGTGATGCCAGAAGCTAATCCGTTGGATGGACTTTGGTTCACTTCTGTGGAAGGCTTACAACCAGACCCTCCTGAATCGAAGTGTGTAGTGCTAGAGTTGACAGACTTATGGTTCGAATCAGAGGTCAGTGAAGAAGCATTGAAGCTGAGTGGGTCTAGCTGAGGTAAACTACTCCTGAAAGTATCTGAGCTGTATTTTCCAATGCTGAGAGGGTTTAGACTAGGCAGGCTAGTGCTGAGCTCATGGCGAAACATACTAGGGTTTAGGGAGTCTGAACGAAACGTTTCAGAGTCCAGAGGGCCTGACAGCTTAAAGCCAGTGCTCAAAGGGTCGAGACAAATCATACTTGAGTGAATCTTGTTGTTTACCAGAGGAACATCTGGCTTGCGCTTCAAAGTTGTTGATATCAGGTCTGTTGCTTGAAACTTTGGTGGGGAGGATTCCACAGTTAAAGTGCTTGTCGTTGTGGGTTTGGTGGTGTTGTTATTATTGTGTCCTATTGATGCAGACAAAAATATTTTTCAGAATTAGACTTGAGGAGTAAGCAGTTTTTAAGCAGTCTAAGCTGTTTTACGTTGGAAAAACTGACCCAATAATCAATTCCACGCAAATTTACCTTTCACTCTCAACACTGCGATACTGGAAACTGTGCCATATTTATTGCTGGCTGTGCAAGTAAATGTTCCAGAATCCTCTGGAAAGACCTCCGCAATAACCAACGTACATATCTCCTCTGAAGTCCACACCAAACAGAGAAATGGTAGACTGTTAGGTGGTTAGTGCCATGAAATAATTATCTTGACAAAGCAGCTGTAATCAAAGCCACCTACCAGATTCAGCCATAGATCTTGGTTCTGGATTAAAAAAAAGCAGAATGTGTGGATTATCAGAAGCAAATTTTAAGTAGAAAAATTCATGCACTGAGAGTTTTTCGTTTACAAGATACGAGGATTTTCAAGGATAGGTCCAACCACATATCGTAATGTATGCATACTAAAATTAGACATACTCTTCTGGAGGATCCTGAAGTCTGGAGAATCTTCAATAAGTGTTCCCTCTCTGTACCAGTCCACTTTGGGGGAGGGAATGCCTTTTACTCGGCACTCCAGCACTACCAGCTGACTCTCCAGAGCCAGGACATCCTGAAGGTTCTGCACCAAAAGAGACAATGGTGTTCAATGACACTGGAATGGAAAGCATGTAAAAACTACATTTTTATATATTCTGAAAATAATGTTAGAGGTGTTTGCTCATGCAATGACTGCTACTGCATTTTAATTGGTGTTCTGCAGGGTCACAAGGGCATTGCTAGTCAAACGTGGTCACCACTAAGTTTCTATTATATTTCTAGGAACGTCTAGTAAGTCTGGTTGCATAATAAGGTTAGAAATACAATAAGAGTTGTGTTTGCTCTACCTTTGTAAAAACAGGAGCTGCCATTATGGGCCTTACATCGAAGTTTTGAAGATAACTACTGCTGCCATTTAGATTCTGAAAAAGAAAATGTATAATGTAAGAGAAACACATGCATAAGTGGGTATAATCAAAACTGTAGATTTGGAGTGTTTTTCGTACCTCAGGAATGCTCTGTTGTGACGTTAACAGTATATCAGAGATACTTTGGCTTGATTGAAGTGATGATGGTGTTATGGTGAGGGTTGGAGAAAGTGGAGTTGGTTCCACCTCAGATATTGGCACTAGTGGTTCTAGAACAGGTAAGGTTTGTTCTAGTACAGGTACGGTTGGTTCTAGTACAGGTACGGTTGGTTCTAGTACAGGTATGGCCTGTTCTAGTACAGGTACGGTTGGTTCTAGTACAGGTATGGCTTGTTCTAGTACAGGTATGGTTTGTTCTAGTACAGGTATTTCAGTGCTGACGACCTTGGTACTCAGTTCTGTATCTTCTTGTTCAGATGGAGAGTCAGCGGTCAGTTGCACTGCTTTTGCGTCTGAAGGTGCTGGTGGCTCAGTGCAGGTGGTTGTTACAGTTGGAGTTGTGTCTTCAGCAGATGTGTTGAACTCAACCGAGATCTCAGCAGGCTTGGGCTGAGGAGATCTATTATGAAGTTTGGAAAAAAAAAGTATGTTCATGTGTTTTCAAACAGGTCCCTTGTGGTCCATGAAGGTAGTGGAAGGAGTCCATAGAGTGGTGTAGTCGTGTTTATTTTAGTGAGTATACTGTGATAGAAAACTTTTTTAAAAACCAACAAAAAAATCATTACATTTGAACATTTTCGTACTGAGAAACTGCTGATAAAAGATAATATATTTAATAATTTTATATATCTTTCTTATTCTTTCCTTATAACTCAAGAAGGAAATAAGGTACAATGAAGTTTCCCTACATGTGAGCTGCATCTGGATCAAATTTTGTGGTGACAGCATAAAGTAACAGCATTTGGAACCAATTTAGCCTTTTTGTTTAGCCTTTGAGGCTATGGGCTATTTGGGTATGGGTATTTTTAAAACTGTTCCTCCCAGAGTAATATCTCATGATCGTCGCAATGGATAATGTTGATTTTGGACTAATTTCAATCGAGAGCACCCACTGCAAGTAATGATGTGCTGTTTTCTATGATCTGTGCATGTTTCATGAACTTACAAGTGAAAACGCCACGTGAAAGCTACATTTGTTTTTAGTCAGCGCCTGTGGAGTGTGTCGTAACTCCATGAGGAATATTCTCCTGATTGACGCAATGGATTATGTTGATTTTGGACTCATTTTAATAGTGAGATCTGCTGTAACTAATAATGTGCCATTTTTCACGATCGGAGCATGTTTCATGAAGTTACGAGCGAAAACGTGAGTGCTAAAAAAAAAGTCAAACTTGCGCAGAGAATGACCGCCAAGCAACTGTGTTGTTGTACCTAAGTGATGTCAGATCCAGGTCACAGACCATGGAAGCCCAAATGGTCCGAAAGTCAGTGCTTCCCAACACAGACGTGGTGAATTTATGAATGAAAGTGTGAAGGTTCACAAAACGATGATGTTGCGTATCCTTAAAATACTCAACCTTTTCTAGTGGGTATATGGCGCATACCTGCATATCACAAAGACTACACCACTGGGTCCATATATATATATATTAGGGGTGTAACGGTACATTTCGGTACATATTCATCCCGAACCGCCATAGTACGGACGTCACGGTTCATCCATACAGTCAGATGACGAATACAGGCGATCCACACAACAATCCAGAAGGAGGCATGCGGTAATGCAACGCTGTTTGCTAACCACCACATAAGGAAAAAAGACAGAAGAGATGATCTATGCACCAACCCAAACCAAGAGTTCAGAAGCACGCGAGAGCTTGCTAGTAGCATATACGCTGAGTTTCGATTTATTTTTGTGACGCGTTCCACAAACTTCACGGAAAGGAAACCGAGACGGCAGAAAGCGACATCCAGTATGTTTTCATTATTTTACAAAAGCACAATGTTTTGTTTTTATTGTGAGTGTACACACATAAAAATTACAGTTTCGAATGTATCTTACTTTTATCTGACCATAAATTACGGAGTATTTAAAGTTGTTTCTGCTGTTATGAGACAAAATAATTTGGCATTGCGCCAGTGAAAAGTCTAACTACTACAGTCCAGTGATGAAATATGCATTTCCAAAACCAAGGTAAGTGCCGAACCGTGACTTCTGTGTACCGTTACACCCCTATAATATTATTCTTATAACATGATTTAATGTTGGAAAACCTGAAAACTCACTGTGCTTCAAAATCTTGTTCTCCGTCAGAATCCGATGAAGACGCTCCTATTAGAAAATGAAATGATGCTGCTATAAACTGCAGCTGTAATAGTCATTCATATCAAATGGTCAATAATTCATTTACGTACCCTCAATGTAGATTTCTGCTGAGGTGGAGTCTGTGCCATAAAAGTTGGAGGCAAAGCACGAGTATCTGCCTGTATCTTCTTCAAATGCCTCGGCTATGATCAGAGAGTGTCGCTCACTGTTGGTGATGATCTGAATATCAGGACTGTTTTCCAACTCTTTACCCTCACAAAACCACCTGGAAAATACAATCAGAGCGTTGGAAAACACATCAAGCACAGACAATAACAAATAACACTACATAATGAAAATTTAAAACATACACATAAATCATGTATGAACGCATTTGGTTTTATTTGACCTCAGTTGTAAAACCAGTGACGAGCACAACTATGTTGTATTCTGACTATAAATGATTATGCCCAGCTCATTTACATAAGATAATATTTTCCTAAATGCATATTTAACTCATTGCTTCAATATTTTAAGTGTGCTAGTGACACTATCCTGTAAGCCACAGAGGTCATTAATACAAGCCTTACAAAACAAAGGTAAACCGCCTTTTTTCAACAATATCATGTAATGGATATGAGATCTTCATTGGCTGATGCAGGGTGTTCGATAGCCAAAACATGCATGTAAACCAAAAATAGGAAACCAGAATATCCAGTAACAAGATTTAACAAGGTAACAAGGGGAACTACTAGCACTTTTGTTAATCGTTCAAGCAGACAGTTGTTGACACATGCATAAAATCTCAAAATAGCCGAATATCAGCTACTTTCTCAGTCTATCACCATCACTATTTCCAAACAAATTAAATGCACAGTTAAAATGCTTAATATTGAATGGACATTAAATGGTCACAAGCATATCAATATATAAGTCACAAATAACTCAATTAACATCAAAATAATAGTACATTTCCTTTTTTAGGGACGTTACCCTTAAAAAAATTGTTGATGAGCAAAAGCTATTTACTTGACTAAATGACTAAATGGATTAATGACACCAGACATTATCATTTATTTCATCAAATACAATAAAATAGAATTTTCAGAGCCTTTCTTTAGTCATGGCCGAAATCAGTTAATTGTCTAACAACTATTAGATACTAGAAGCTGCTGAAGCCATTTACTAATGAAGTTATTTCTGGCATATGTCCGTTTGTGTTAAAGATATTCAATCTCATCACAAAAATCAGCCCTTCTTTTCAAACGCTTCAGCAAAATAAGGTCCACACTGCAACACAAATCAGCATTTATTCAGAATGAAATCAATGGGTTAAAAGAGTATTATCAGATCCAAAAATATAGCTTGACCCGAGCCTTACCTAGAGGGACCGTACAATTATTTTACTTCCTCTCCTTCCCTTATCGTGAAATTTTAAAGCGCTTCTGAAGCGATAAGTCGCGGTTCATTCCAAGGGCGAGACATGTCTGAAATGTATTGTGTTGGAATGGGATCCCAGAGCCAATGAGGATCATTTCCAGTGAGTAAGACTCTACTTTGAAAGCCTGAGCTGCGGGGGAGAGACTTCCAGCGCTAGATCTGCACCTGTTGGGTCTATTTTCCCTCTCGACCCGAAACCCGGCAGCATCCCTGACCGACACACATGAACACACAGAGCTAAACATAGAACGGCCTCTCATTCAATCACCAACACAACACACACTAATATATCTGTCAGCCAGTTAGCACACATTTGAGTCACTGAACAAAACAAAAAAAGAAGCACTTGACATTTTTAGGCTCGCTACAACATCGAAAATGTGGGGTTTCTTTACATTTACTTGATGAAAATTATTCTGTGGTGAAGAAAATGCTACAGAAAAAACATGTAATTTCTACATGAAAAACATAGTTCAGGCAAGAATACAAAAAACAAGGTAAATTAGTATTCATTTGAAGCTTGTAGAAATTAAAGTGCAAATCTTAATGATATAAAATTAATTAAAACCTACTCAACTTTTCGAATACTGGTGTTCCCATCATGCACTGGGGCAGTAATAATTAATAAGGTTGATTTTTCACTGCTTTCCAGCTGCATTTACAACGTTTTAGCATTACTTTTGTTGTTAGGTTTGGTAATTTGCCATTTTGTGACATTTTGGATTAATTTTCTACTCAAAATGACACATACTCAAACTATCTAACGTTACCGTCAGTAGCGGAGATAGCGTGGGTGCTTGGGTGCGGTCGCCCCAGGGCCCCGTGTCAATTAGGGGCCTCTCAAACGCCGCCGATCTTGCGTCACTGGACAGGAACGGGGCCCTCGCCAGCAGTGATGCCGGTAACTTTTTTCAGTAACGAGTAATAACGCGTTACTATTTCCAAACCAGTAATCAGATTAAAATTACTGATCCAAATTACTGTGTGTTACTATTTTTTGTCATTTTCTTTAATAGAAATGATGGCTGATATGCGATATGAAACCGAAATGTGTGTGAGAAGGCAGAATCGCGACACACTCCAAAACCCAGCGTTATCCTTCCCGTCCAGATCCAAGCTTACCACATCTTTAAATGATGGCTAGTAGGCTATTGTTTGAAGTTAACATTATAAAATACGTAGACCTACACTACACCACAGTTGAGGATAATTTCTTTAAAATTGGGCAATTCCAGCGTTATGGACGTGACATTTGGTAAAAAAACTTGAAATGGAAATTCTCAGAAAATGCATTTAATACCAATATATTGAAACGTCTGTTTATCCTCCTTAATAAAGGAGTCCAGACTCCAGACATTAGAAAAATATCAGTCTACACATGCATTTTATATTTAATATGAGGGAAATACGGACGTGACACAAAAAAACTTTTTTCGTGTTCGCATTTATGAGGGAAAAACAATGTTACGAGACAGTTCCCCGTTACGGACGCGAGCGCTCTGAAAGCGGCACTGAAAGACTGCTTTTAAAATTTTCCCAGAGACATCAAACATAAAGCACAAAGCCATTCATTAAGGCAAATTTCGTTTTGTATTAATTGTATCTTAATTTTAAATCAATGTTTCATCAACCAATTGCCTGGATTTAATAAATAAGAAGTAAATATAGCAGACAATAGATAATCGCGCCGGCGCGTGAACTGGAGCTCGTCTTGTGAGTCATAAATGAACCGAAACACAGAGTAGGCCTACTTGCCTCACACACCTGAGAAATATATCAATAGAAAGCTGGAAATGTGTACTTTTACAGAACAATTCAAAACGAAAGAAAACAGACTGTTCTCTGAAAAGAACGAGATAGCCTTTGTGTTTGATTTAACATATAAGCTTACTTGGCTCAACAAGTGACACATTATTACATATGCATTCATCAGATATATTTTTTTTTTTTTTTTACGGTTTTAATTTTAAAACGACTTGGTAGCAGAGGGCCCCATGATGAAGCTCCGCCCCCACTATACTGAGAGTCTAGCTCCGCCCCTGGTTACCGTTATTGTGTACCAAGTATTGAGGTCTGTGTTCGGATGCCATGTTATCTATTATGATGATATAGTATGGAATCTATACAATTTATATTGCATAATTACTTAAATGTTTCTAAAGCATACACTTTAAAAGTGTGGTTTAATTCAGTGTTATATTGTTTGAGTAAAAAGTTAATTTTGTTAAATTTACTATACTTAGTAAAGTAGATGTTACTTTATTTACTTCAATTAAATGTTAAATGAATGTTAAGTTTAACAGTAAGTAGATTTTACTTGATAATAACAATAACATAAGTTATACAGAGCAGTAGAAGTAAAATTTAGTTAAAACGAGGATCCTTCTATCAAATAAATCCTACAACTTATTTTTTTCAGTGACTTAGGGAACATTTGGAAACAGAGAACATTAAGGAAAATGAAGAGGCTTTGCACAGATGGTCATTTGAACATTCACAGATATAAATAAAATGGCTCATTGAATCATGTTGAAAAGGCGAGTTACTTCTGATCAGTGGATTCTCACAGGAGTGTGTGGATGATCTAATGTTTCTGACATCACAGTCTCTGGGTCGGCTGAACGTGTGTAACGTGACGGAGAACAGTTGTCGAAACACATCACCTGTCACACACACTCAGAAAAGCACGGGTTTCCTTGACCCGTCAGTGTGGGAAGCTTGCGTTGAGTAATGTTACACTGAGGTTTCATCAATGACACACTGATAAACAACTTCAGCAATGTATAATCATGATTCATGTATAGAAAATAACTTCAGAAACAATGGAAATCCCTCCATTAATTCATTAATTATAGGAAAATAAATCAAACAGCTTGAACTCAGAGGTTTTGTCATGCTACCGCTATGCAAACATTTATCTTTCAGCTTTCACAAGACATCTTTGTGCTAATAGAAAATGTATGGTCAATTTATATCATGTTATTAAATGCAAAAAAGTTAAATGTATTATCAATTTATATGGTAACACTTTACAATAAGGTTTCATTAGTTAAATACTTTAGTTAACGTGAACTAAGAATGAACAATACTTCTCCAGCATTTATTAATCTTACTTAATGTTAATTTCAATACTAACACATTATGGAAATTAAATGTTGTATTTGCTAATCTTAGTTAATGCACTAACATGAACAAATAATGAACAGCTGGATTTGTATTAACTAATGTAAACAAAGATTAATAAATACTGTGACTAATGTATTGCTATTAAATGCAAAAATGTAAATGCATGATCAGATTTTTATGAAGTTATTAAAAGCAAAAATATTAAATGCATGATCAATTTATATATTACATTATTAAATACAAAAATTTCAAATGCATGATCAATTTATATTACGTTATTAAATGCAAAAAATTTAAAATGTTAAATGCATGATCAATTTATATGATGTTATTAAATGGAAAAACGTTAAATGCATGATCAATTCATATATTACATTAAATACAAAAATTTCAAATGCATGATCAATTTATATGACGTTATTAAATGCAAAAAATTAAAAATGTTAAATGCATGATCAATTTATATTACGTTATTAAATGCAAAAACGTTAAATGCATGATCAATTTATATGATGTTATTAAATGCAAAAATGTTATATGCATGATCAATTTATATGACGTTATTAAATGTAAAAATGTTAAATGCATTATCAATTTATATGAAGTTATTAAATGCAAAAACGTTAAATGCATGATCAATTTATATGAAGTTATTAAATGCAAAAATGTTAAATGCATGATCAATTTATATGACGTTATTAAATGTAAAAATGTTAAATGCATGATCAATTTAAATGAAGTTATTAATGCATTTAACGTTTTTGCATTTCATAACTTCATAGAGATTGATCGTGCATTTAATGTTTTTGCATTTAATAACGTCATATAAATTGAGTCACACTGTAACACACACTGAGTTAAGTCTTGACTTGAGTTTCTAGAGAAGCACAAGCTGAATATCATGGCTGGAGAAGCACATTTGCACAATCTGACTCATTCAACTCTTTAAGGCTTCACAAGTTATGAGAGACTTCTCATATTCTCGACTTCTTGATTTCTCCTCCTCTGCAATTATCTTAGACATAAACATGTTTCATGACAAACACACTTACTATAAAAGAATAAAGAAATCATTAATATACTTACAGTCCAGTTTATATCAAAGTAAAATGGGAACAGTGCTCTATAGTTTACTAAAACTAAAAATATAAAAAATAATTTCTTCCAATTAAATAATATAAGAGTATTAGATGGAAAAGGTGAAACTTGTTTTTAGGTTTCACCTTTTGCATCTAATACTCTTATATTATTTCATTGAAAGAAATTATTTTTTATATTTTTAGTTTTAGTAAACTAGGGCACTGTTCCCATTGTACTTTGATATAAACTGGACTGTAAGTATAAGTTTATTGATTTCTTTATTACATTTTTCCTATGCAAATAATTAAATTAAATAAGTTTAAGTACTGAAATTACTAAAAATAAATTAAAGCTAAATATAAATATAAAAAAAAAAGAATACAATCAAATGATAAAAGCACAACAAAATTGCTAAAAATAAAAAGTATTCAAAATATTAATAAATACTATGATAGTATATAGCATTGATATCCATCTGATACCACAATAGTACATTATTTTGTAAGGAAGTGACACTCATGTTGTGTGGTTTATTTCATCAAATGGGACGGAAAGGACATTCACTACTCCCGAGTAAGCACTGCTGCAAAAATCCATCATATCTGCACTAATGTGCCCATGTCATATTTTGTTTACTCTTATATTCATTGGCTAACTGTGCTCTACTGAAGATGCAGGACATTAATTTCGCCTGCATTCTAGCATCATATTTCCAATGTGGCAAAATTAGAAAGGCTGAGCTCAGACTGCATGTTATACGCTCAGCTTTCACAAGACTTCTTTGTGCTTCCAGCCAATGCATGAGAAACTAGTGTGTTATAGATTCCTTGCACACTTTAGCATACTTTAAAATAAAAAAAGATTACTTATTATGGAAATAATATACTTTAAAAAAAGTCTGAAAAGAAGCGGCTGTTTACAGATACTTGATTAATTGCAATTAAGTGAAAATGTATTATGGTTTAAATTAATATTAAAGGTACAATATGTAAGAATTTCAAATCAAAGAATATCAAAATATCCAAAAAACACTTGCACGGTGTTATATGTTTCTTTCAATTGTGACGTACAATATCCTAAATGTTTCCAAGAATTTGTAAATTCAGAGAAATTCACAATTTTAAATAGTGCCCGTCCCTGTCGCCTGTCACTGACGTAATATCCGCGTTATCCCTGGTTTTCCGCTTGTACTGCCGTAGTAACCATGGTGACAGACGTGGACAACAGCGTTACGGCTAGCGGCGCGCTCACGCTGTTGTTGTTTCGTTCAAACATTATGGACCATGGCAAGCAGACTTTGGGACAAAATGAGAAATAAAACGAGGATCAATATCAGTGTGGCGTTTTCGAGATGCCGAGAGCTAGCGTCCGCGACTAACTTCGACTCGACAGAGACGCCGCTCTTACATGTACTTTATTAGACAGGTGAGCAAATGTACATAAAACGAATCAATGTTATATAGCTCAACATGATGAAATGTTAGAATATGATCAGTATGTTATTCGAATGTTGATCTAGCTTACTGCTAGCTTATCTAACAAACTAACACATAGAATAACATTATAACTATCAACACACTCAAATGCCGTTTAGTGTGATAGTGTAGAGCAAGTGAAGCAGCGCTGCGTTACCTCAAGTTTAATTTAATAAACTGACCTGTGTGAGTAGTAATAAAGCACTTGTGTGTAGTTCGGTAGAATGAAATGTCCTCATTCCTTTATATCCGCGGGACTCGCGTTGCGTGTGGCGCTGAGATCTGTCTCTCGTTAGCAATCGCGCCCTGCTTCACACCAGTCATGTTATAAACATCACTGTATTCATTCACTCATCCATAAACATTATTATCATTGGCATAACGACAAGTTCCATGATTCCGCTTATTCACTGTGTCATCAACCTACGCCTTTGTTATTGTAAGAGGTTAGCGACCCTAGCGGTGAAAAAAATTACATATTGTAGCATTAAATGCAATTTTTTGATTTCTTGGTAACACTTTACTTGAAGGGGTGTGCATAACACTGACATGACACCTTCATAATCATGACATGACACATGGGTTAGGTGTCATTCGCTCAATTATGAAATTTTTAATGCAAATATGACATTGTTTGAGATGTCTTTGTTATGACAACTTGACATAGCTAAACCAATACATCATAACCTGTCAGTGTTCCGGTAATGACAATTTGACATTACCAAGACAACATAAATTCTCATAAATATGTCATAAACATGACATAGCAGATTAATAATCAAACTTAAAACTGCAGTGAACCAAAGACAGTCTCAAAAACACTGTTTGAAATCGCTGGTGTTTCTGACGTCACAAACGACCTTGTAACCAATCAGATCAACGTGTGATCGTCAACCAGTGGATCTCTGAGCTGAGTGAGTGAGTGGAGGCGGGGCTCATTTGCATATTCATAGACCCGCGCATACTAAATGAGGCAAGGGTGTCGAGTTACATTCAAGGTATTTTAAGGCATGAAGAGTTTTTTCCAAGGGACATTTTTAAATATGTAATTTTTTGGGGATCAAAGATGAGTTTTAAGGGATAAAATTATTGACTACAGGGGGACTTTAGGTAAAACTAAATCCAAAACAATGATTCCATGATTGGATCCCTAAAAAGGTTCTATATATGAAGCGTTTCTTCTAAGAGTGTTTCTCTATGTCTGCTTTCTGCCTGAGCAATGCTAATGGTAATATTTGACCACTAAATACTGTACGTGCACCAAATAAAAGTGAAACTCACCGGACTTCAGGAGCAGGCAGTCCTCTGACGATACAATCCAACTGGACTTTACTTCCCTCGGGAACCTCCCTGCTTTTAAGTTTCTGTATAAAGTGTGGAGGTTCACACACGGGTTCCTCCGCTTGTATCAGAGCCGGTGCTTCACACTCAATTTCACGCGATGGCTCCGGTTCTTCCGGTTCCTCGGGCTCCTCTGTGTCCAAGACTTGATTGTTCTCCATCGGCTCCTCCATTTGTTGGTCAAGCAGAATCGTCCGTTCTCTATCGTCAGCATTAACGGAGTACGAAGTGCCATCAAGTTGGGTTTTGTTCTGGTATCGGCTCCGGTGCGCTTTGCAAGTACGAGGCCGAACTCGCTTAGAACTGTTGGACTTGAACAGAGACGAAAGCTCTTCTATGAAGTCGGCTGCCTTGTTGAGGAACTCCTTCTTGGATTGGGTTTCCAAGCCATAAGGAGCGTTTCTTTGGGGTCTTTTGAAATCGGCCGCAGCTTCCCTGGAAGATCTGACGCTCCTAATCGTGTTTTCTTGGATTGAAGGCTGGATCGGTTGACTCGACTCGGACATGGACATCGTGGGTTTGCTCATTTGTGGGCATCTCTCCTCACGTTCTCGTGGATCATTGCTGATGGCTTTGCAGGCCAGATCCACACTCTTGTCCAGTTCTTCTTGGCTCAGGAAGGCAGAAAGGTCTGGAAACTGAGCGTCCACTTTCCCACCAGAATCCTCCGGTTTCTCTTTGACCGTCCCGTACACCAGAAGTCGAGGCGTGTCGATTAGGCTGGGCTCGCCGTGTCTGTGATGGGCTCTTGCTTCGGATAAATAACTCTCTCGTAAGAGCTGAGATAAAGATGTGGGCTGATCCATGTTGTTCTCCTCCATGATGCTGGAAACACAATGACAGATTAAGAACATTAAGGAACGTTTTTGGACACATTTGGCAAAGGTGAAGCATCATTATCACTTAAAACTCATCTTTGATCACCAAAGTGACTATTTAAACGTTATTTCCTTGAAAAAAAAATTTCTTAAAATGTAACTCGACACCCTTGCCTCATTTAGTATGCGTGGTTCTATGAATATGCAAATGAGCCCCGCCTCCACTCACTCACTCAGCTCAGAGATCCACTGGTTGACGATCACACGTTGATCTGATTGGTTACAATGTCGTTTGTGACGTCAGAAACACCAGCGATTTCAAACCGTGTTTTTGAGACTGTCTTTGGTTCACTGCAGTTTTAAGGAGGAAATACTCAGCAATGCTGTCGACTTATGAATTTACACATGGTGTGTCTTAAAGCAGATTAAAAACACCATATAGACATATAAACAACATTAAAAGCTTGATTTTCACCACAGGGGGACTTACATGCCTTCTGCTAACCACTGTAATTTATAACTATATAAAAAATATAGAGTACAGCTTTCAATAACTTGGTCTTAGATATCATTGCCTACTTGTAGAAATTAATTCGGTTTACAAGGAGCAATTCAAAATGTCTACAAAGAAATATCGCATTGATATTAAATTTACACTGCAATCAGAGATATAAGAGATATCATTTTAGAGCTGAGCACAACTAGAAAAATTCACTATAATATATATATATTCACTATATTCATATTTGCATTATTCTTATTCACTATAAGTTTGTATGGTAACACTTTATTTTAAGGTGCTTGTAATAAGCAGTAATTAACATTTAATAAGACACTTATAAGACCTTATAAGATGCATATAAGCATTAACTACTTCATATAAGGGTTAATTAAAGGTCCAGGCCCTGAAGAGATCAGGGAAACTACTCCCTGGGAAGGTAAATTTTTAAGGGACTGGGAGTTTGTTACCATTTATGTTTGTCCGGCTGTTCTAAAAGTGCAATGTATTGATACTTGAGAAATTTATTATTTAATTTAATTTATTTATTATAATTAGTTAATGCTTATATGCATCTTATATGTATCTTATAAGGTCTTATAAGTGTCTTATTAACTGTTAATTACTGCTTATTACAACCACCTTAAAATAAAGTGTTACCGTTTGGATTCATTTCCATGTCTTCTTCAAACCTGGAAATGACCATTATAAAATTTCCCTGATATTTCCAGGTGTTCTGTTACCTTCATGCATAACTTAAACATGCCAACAAACCTAATATTCCCGGAGAATAAAATGTAGTTATTAAAACTATGAAAACGCAGATGAATTTGAAGCATTACGTTTGGATGTTTTGGAGATTTTTGTGCCATTGCAAACAGAATTCCTCTTAAAACATGAGATCAATTGACTCCTAAATATCTGATCAAAGAATATCCATGACTTCTCCAGTTATTTTTGATATGGATTTTTTAAATAATAATTTCTAACAAGACGGCAGTCAGAATTCTAGAGAGGAGCACAAGAATATATATATTAAAAAAAAAATCATATTCACTACAAGATTTCATTCATTTCCATGTCTTCACCAGCCTGGAAATAACAACTATAAAATGTCCTAATATTTCCAGGTTTTCTATGACCGTAGGAACTAGTATACATGCATAACATATTCAACTTAAACATTTCAAAGCTGGAAAAGTCCGGAAAGCAAACGCCATTTTCATGAAATGCATAAAAATGCAGCAATATTTAAAGCATATGGTTTGGAAGTTTTTGTGTCACAACAAACAGAATTATTTTTAATATTTAGAGTCCAATATCAAAACACACTCCCACTTTATATTAAGTGTCTTTATCTATTATGTAAATAATCATTTGATGCAATACACTTAATGATTTTACATTGTACTTAAAAAAAACCTACACGTGTAATTGGTTTGTGTAATTACATCAATAATTACCTGACTTAACCAAACCCGGGTTACACTTTATTCTAAGGTGACGCAGTTACATATTACTACATATACTTACAGTAGTAATAACAGTAAATTATGCATAATTACAATTAACTAACCCTAAACCAAACCCTAACTCTATAGTAAGTACATGTAGTTAACTAATATTACTTATTTGAGTAATTACAATGTAACTACATCACCTTAAAATAGTGTAACCCAAACCGGTCCTCACCTTACCCGTATCCACCTCAATAACAGCAAAAGTGTTTAGATGCAAATATATACACATGTATACAGTATGTGTAGTATGTGTGCTGATGATTTAGTTATTCTCTCTCCTTATAATGCTGGACTACAACAGTTCAAGCTATGGTGTGCATCATATTACATTGAATGCTAAAAAGAGAGTGGTTATGATTGTTAAAATCCAAAAGTTAAAACCTTAAGCAAAAATGTCATTCTATACAGGTGACCCAAGTATTAAACGTGGTAAATAAAGCAAAATACTTGGGTCACATCATTAAAAACAGAAATATTTGATATATTCTGCTATAATATAGCTCTTTTTAGAGCTTAATGTTTTTCTCTTTATATGGCGCACTTGTAGTGTAAATATAGTAAAGTTCTGCTTCGGCTCCCGAGTTGGACAAGTGCAAGCCAAATGTTTGTATCTAATAATGCATGCAATTATATGCATGTGATTCAAAAAATAGCATAATGGTCTTAAATTATATTACATTGAGTGATAAAAGGTATTTTTTCCTGGAATGTAATTTTTTTTATAATTTTTTTTTATAATTTCTTAGTAAATGCATGTTTATATATTTTCTTTTTACGTTTTGATATGGACCTACGGGTCTGAAGTAGAGAATGACTTGAAATGAAAAGACTCCCAATTTAAAGTATGACCCAAAGCAAAGTCTGAGAAAGGTTTTGCCCTGTTGTTATTGAATCCAGAAACGGGATATGCCTGCAGATGGTCCTGACACTCAAATCAGAGCAATTAACAGAAGCAGCGATGCCCTTCCAACAGACCTGTCCGGGCAGCTGGTGTGTGCATGAATCCAGAGCACACACACACACACACACACTCCAGCCCCCCCACACAGCTAATTATAGTCAGGGCTCACTTTACATGAACAAAATACAACACAATAATATCATTACAAACATCATATCGCTCGAATCAATCCAGAAACTATTACATTAGATCTTGTGTACATGATTTACTAGGAAGGAACCGTTATGACACGTAAGTCTAAGAAAGAAACTGTCAGTACAAACATCTATACAGAGTGTGTGCCTTTAAAATGTACTTGCATGCATTAAATGAAATGGTCATCAGATAACAAGGTGCTTTACCTTAGACTTCAGTGTGAGCGTTCTGCTCCACAAGTGTGTAGATCTACTGCACCTGCTTACAATCCACTGCAACTCCAGCTTTACAGACGCCCGAGCGCTTCCTAGCCTTGAGGAAAGTTAACCTCGAGTTCTTCCTAGTCTTGGGGAAAGTTAACCTCGAGTTCTTCCTAGTCTTGGGGAAAGTTAACCTTGAGTTTCCAGCGGCAGCAGCGGCGACGGCCTGTCCGGGAGACCTGTCACCATGAAGCCGAATCATCCGTCAGCGTGTCGGTGGCAGGTTATCAGGAGGAGGTGGAGGGATTTGAAGCGTGTGCCAGGGAATGAGCCGTCCTCATTGGCCAGTGCCCGTCTGGTGCACCTACGACAGGCTGGAGGGCACAGAAGCAGTGCATTATGGGCGGTAACTGGAAATAATAGGGCAAAAAGGAGATGCATACCAAGCACAGATGATTTTGAACATTCATTGTCATTTGCATTAGTTAAAAAAATGAACCCTGTTTTGAGTACAATTAAGTATTTATGTATAATGCATTATAAAGGTATGCATAATTTACGTTATATCTTTTCATAAATAATTGCAACCAAAGTTATAATGCATTATATTTGCAGACTTGTTGTTTGTTATGCGTTTTAATTAGTGCTAACGATTAATCGCATCCAAAATAAAAGTTTGTTTAGGGTGTTCTGTGTAAAATTATTTTGTATATACAAATACACACACATGCATGTATATATTCTAGAAATATTTGCATGTATATATTTAAATACATAATTTATATTATATATAAATATTTTATATATAAATAACACATTTTTCTTAAATGTATACATGCATGTGTGTGTATTTATATATACAAAATAATTATACACAGAACACAATTTATTTTATTTTGATTAATAGTCTTAATGCATTATACTTGCTTTCTAAACACTATATAACAATTATTCATGAGATCATATGATGCATTATATACAAGGCATGATCAATGCATTCAAATATTTTATAATGCACTATATATGAAGGGTTTAGGTAAAGTCGTTTGCATTGTGACATTACTGTGTTTACCCTCAAATTCTCATTATTGCACTGGGAAAAACACACAATTACAATCATGCTTTTAGATTCCAACTATAAAATAAAAGAAAGAGACAAGATCAATCTTTTTGGTGAAAACTGTTTATTTTCAAGTGTTCCGCTTGCCGTTTTACTCTTTCCATACATTGTTTTGTAATGAAATTATCTTTGAAAATATTATTTTACACATACCCGAGGGCTGACTTTAGTTGAACTGTTTTTAAGATGAGTTCACCAGGAATTACCCATAACTCTCTGAATATGGTGATCAATACGTTTTGCTTCCTACTCACTTTAAAAATAATTTTTCTACTAATTATATTATATAATGCTTGAATATACTTCATATATATATTCACATATTTAACTAGTGATCTATTTAGCATTATATAATTTAATACTGTTTGTTATTGACTCAACTATAGTTTCTAGATCAAATACGAGCAGCCCTTTATTTTACACCTGGAAGTCCTTTATATCTGCTGTTTCTCACATCAGTTATTGTGCTTCCAGGTTAAATGTGTGTTTTTTTTTTAATATTTATGGAAGCACATTTCTTCATAATAATGAAAAGTCAAAATTATAATAATTTTGTCATAATAATGATAAGATTAAAAGTTAAAATTGACTTTTTAAGTAACTTTTTATGACTTGTCTCATAATTTTGACTATGACAATTTCGAGTCAAGACAATTTAGTTCATAATTATGACTTTATCTTTATGAATTTTGACTGTGTATGGCGATTTAAACTTTTTAAGTGATAATTTTGACCTTTTATCTCAATTATGACTTTTTCGATTCAAGACAATTTAGTTCATAATTATGACTTCATCTCTTAATTTTGACAAAGAATGACAATTTCAACTTTTTAAGTCATAATTTTGACCTTTTATCTCAAATATGACTTTTTCATCTCAGAATTTTGACTTAAAAAGTCGATATTGTCATTCTATGTCATAATTACCACAGCATAATTTATTTGTATGTGGTGGAAATGGGCTTCCATAACTATTAGATTATCTACTGATGCAAAAAGAACAAAAAAAAAATCTGCAGTTGTCATTAAAAAAAAAATTATGATTTACATATCACATGATTTCACTTAAAAAGTCTAAAAGGAAGAAAGGCAAATAGCCAAAGGCACGTCATGATTAGGTAATATGGTCGTCAGATAAAGTGTGTCAAACCGAATAGAACTACAGTAGTGATCCTAAAATAAAATAAAAACTTTGCATTTTAAAATAAGTAGGTATTAATCTGGATTCTGAATACCTTCATTCATCACTTGGCAAAACATCCAACATCACGTTTCTTCAGTCTAACGCCGGTCGCATTATAACACGCATATAACCATCCATTCTGAGACCACCGGATGATGTCACTAAGGGAAATATAACTTAAAAGTAGAAAGAGAAATCATCCTGATTGGACTAATCAACCTGGAAACATGATGAATTCTGCGAAGCAAATCCAGAACAAGAGAAAAAAGCAGTTCTATAAATCCAGCTCCTAACTGGACACACACACACACACACACTGAAGGCCATAGTGATGCTGCTCATGCTTGTGTAGTTCTGTAATGCTTTTGCGAATCCTCAAAATATCCGAGAACTCCCAAAGGACTGTATGAAGCGTCTCTGCATCTGATAAAGTCTGTTCGGCATGTCTGAGTCTTTCATTCACTGAAGTAGTGTAAAATCCCACTTCACTGTCACGATTCTTCACTCGCTCGCTTGCGAGACTGATCGCCCCTGCAAAACAACGGCTCGGGTCAAGCTAGCATTTTTAATGGACTGAATATTGCCTGTTGAATATTATAGGTTGTATTTTTAAACGGAATTAATATATTTGGAAGTGAAATCTGAAAGTCAAGATTTGAAAGTAAAATAATGAAAATTCTGAAATATGACATTAAAATAATGCCGAATGTTTTTGAAACAAAAAAGCTTGTTGAATTGCACTACTTGGAAAAAAAACATGCATTGCATTATTAATCGGGCTTGTATTTTAATGCATTGTGTTTTTAGGGCTTGCATTTTTATGGGCTGAAATTCAACATGGTTGTATATTTAAGCTGTGAATATTTCAATTCAAAACATTTAAAAATTCAATAATCACCTTTCAGATTTCACTTCCAAATATATTAATCCAGTTTAAAAATACAACCTTTAATATTCAACAGGCAATCAAATTATTAAAAATAATTATTTAATAATTTCGCTCGTATTAAAAACACAATGCATTAAAATACAAGCACGATTAATAATGCAATGCATATTTTTTCCAAGTAGTGCAATTTTTTTGTTTAAAAAATATTTGGCATTATTTTACATCCATCATAATATTATTTCGCATAATTTGAGGTTATGGTTTACCTGGAGACGCCGTTCTGACAGAGCTCCATCTGCAGCTTCTGGTCTTGCGCCGCGTAATACTCCAGCTGAGACTCCAGAGCCGGAGGAGCGATCTGAGGAATGAATCTGGAGAACAGAGCCGGAGCGAGAGGGACCCAGTCTGTGGGGAAGAACATCATCTCCTGTTAATCATGTGTTACAGGTGGAAATCTTTGGCTTGAATGTCATTTGAATTGTTTCCAAAGTGAACAAATTTGTGATTATTGTTCATTCAGAATGATTTAAACTCTGAACCGTGTTTTGATTCAGTGAGATATACAGTATATATGCGTGTGTGTATATATATATATATTTGTGTGTGTGTATACTGTATATATATATACACTCACCGGCCACTTTATTAGGTACACCTGTCCAACTGCTCGTTAACACTTAATTTCTAAGCAGCCAATCACATGGCGGCAACTCAGTGCATTTAGGCATGTAGACATGGTCAAGACAATCTCCTGCAGTTCAAACCGAGCATCAGTATGGGGAAGAAAGTTGATTTGAGTGACTTTGAACGTGGCATGATTGTTGGTGCCAGAAGGGCTGGTCTGAGTATTTCAGAAACTGCTAATCTACTGGGATTTTCACGCACAACCATCTCTAGGGTTCTAGGGTTCGGCAGTTCTGTGGGCGGAAATGCCTTGTTGATGCCAGAGGTCAGAGGAGAATGGCCAGACTGGTTCGAGCTGATAGAAGGGCAACAGTGACTCAAATAACCACCCGTTACAACCAAGGTGGGCAGAAGAGCATCTCTGAACGCACAGTACGTCGAACTTTGAGGCGGATGGGCTACAACAGCAGAAGACCCCACCGGGTACCACTCATCTCCACTACAAATAGGAAAAAGAGGCTACAATTTGCAAGAGCTCACCAAAATTGGACAGTTGAAGACTGGAAAAATGTTGCCTGGTCTGATGAGTCTCGATTTCTGTTGAGACATTCAGATGTTAGAGTCAGAATTTGGCGTAAACAGAATGAGAACATGGAACCATCATGCCTTGTTACCACTGTGCAGGCTGGTGGTGGTGGTGTAATGGTGTGGGGGATGTTTTCTTGGCACACTTTAGGCCCCTTAGTGCCAATTGGGCATCGTTTAAATGCCACGGCCTACCTGAGCATTGTTTCTGACCATGTCCATCCCTTTATGGCCACCATGTACCCATCCTCTGATGGCTACTTCCACCATGGCACAAAGCTCGAATCATTTCAAATTGGTTTTCTTGAACATGACAATGAGTTCACTGTACTAAAATGGCCTCCACAGTCACCAGATCTCAACCCAATAGAGCATCTTTGGGATGTGGTGGAACGGGAGATTCGCATCATGGATGTGCAGCCGACAAATCTGCGGCAACTGTGTGATGCCATCATGTCAATATGGACCAAACTCCCTGAGGAATGCTTCCAGCACCTTGTTGAATCTATGCCACGAAGAATTGAGGCAGTTCTGAAGGCAAAAGGGGGTCCAACCCGTTACTAGCATGGGGTACCTAATAAAGTGGCCGGTGAGTGTATATCACATATCACTGAATCAAAACTGTTCAATTTGAATCGTTCTGAATGCACATTATATATATGCTGAATGCACACACACATATACATAATATATATACATACATACATACACACACACACACATACACACACATATATATATATATATATATATATATATATATATATATATATATATATATATCTCACTGAATCAAAACTGCTCAATTTGAATCGTTCTGAATGCACATTATATATATGCTGAATGCACACACACATACACACATACATACACAAACACACACACACACACACAAACACACACACATATATATATAAAAGGGCTGTCAAGCGATACTTTTTTTTATCTAATTAATTACACACTGTGGTAATTAATCGCACATAAAATTTAGCTGAGAAAGCGCCTCCAAAAGATCATTTAAAGTCATTATTGTGTTAAATGAGAAAAGCATTAATATACAGTTGTCAACATTTGAAGTGGATCAAAAAAGTTCATCAAAGCACGGGTATCGTTCAAAATTCATGTACAACTTTGATGAAAGGTTTTGATCCACTTCAAATGTTGACTACAATATTTCATTTGATTCAACATAGAATTTATTACACAAACTTTAAGGCTTCAATGGCCATGAGGGGGAGTAAACGATGACACGATTTTTGGTTGAACTAGACCTTTAATAGATTATTTAATAATACAGATTTTTTTTCTTCTCTTTAATGAAATCCTACTCTAAATAAGAAACTAAAACTGCCAGTAAGTGGTGGTTAAATGTCTAAATGAGCGAGTCGTTGAGTCATTCGTTCATTAGATTCGCTCAAATGGCTGATTCATGAGTCACTGAATCATTGATTCACCCGAATGATTCGTTCAAACCACGAATTCATTCAGAAACACCGCTGTGTTGCTCGAAGAAGCACAATCGTTCTCCTGTGGCTTTATAGGCAATATTGTGTCTAAAATACAACAATATTAACTTCTTACTTATTGAACAGTTTTAACATATTTGCACTCGTGCTATTCGCGATAAAAACAGCACTCATGTGATATTGCGCTCGTACAAAAACTCATACAGGGGCATTTTTGCCCTGATATCTTGAATTTTAGAGCGATTCTAACTGCTCTCTATAGGCTTCATCACGCAGTGAGTTGTTGCCCTGCTTCATGTTCGTCATGAAAAACATGAAAAAAGTCAAATTTGCTTAAACATTTCTCTAGTTCAAATTGTTCCATCCAAAGCCTGTAGGATCTGTGAAAGACAAATGATGTGATGTGAAACACAAAAGCTATTGACACAAAATAACACTGTAACTGAAGCTCAGTTCAGGATCACACACACACTGCGATGCATTGAGTGCTTCTGTCTATAATCACACGATTCAAGCGCCATTTTTCACACGCCGACAGTTTTGTGGAGATCGCTGACAGATGCCTGAAGTCTTAGGCCACTCGATGCTCGTTCATGTCGTGTAGTGTGTGTGTGTGTGTGTGTGTGTTACTAAAACAGTCACACTAATCTTACCTGGCCGGAGCGTGTAAAGACCTTTCACAACACTCTCCATAGTCGACGGTTTGACTTGAAATGGCATGGAATGAGCCTTTTTAAGAAGAGCTGAGAAAACACAATTAAACACTTCAGTTGATGTACACTGCCGTTCAAAAGATTTGGATCGGTAAGATTATCCTTCTCTCTTCTGCTCACCAAAGCTGCATTTATTTAATAAAAACAAACAAACAAAAAACAGTAATATTGTTAAATATTATGACAATTTAAAAAACACTGTTTTCTATGTGAATATATAGTAAAGTGTAATTTATTCCTGTGATCAAAGCTGTATTTTCAGCATCATTACTCCAGTCTTCAGTGTCACATGATCCTTCAGAAATCACTCTAATATGATGATCTGATGCTCAAGAAACATTTATGATTATTATCAATGTTGAAAACAGTTTTTTTTCAGGATTCTTTGATGAATAGAAAATTCAAAAGAACAGCATTTATTTGAAATAGAATTTTTTGTAACATTATAAATGTCTTTGTCACTTTTGATCCATTTAATTCGTCCTTGAATTCAAGCTTTCTATTTCAGATAAATGCTGTACTTTTGAACTTTCTATTTATCAAATAATCCTGAAATAAAAATGTAAATAACTGTTTTCAACACTGATAATAATCATAAATGTTTCTTGAGCATCAGATCCTCATATTAGAGTGATTTCTGAAGGATCATGTGACACTGAAGACTGGAGTAATGATGCTGAAAATTCAGCTTTGATCACAGGAATAAATTACACTTTACTATATATTCACATAGAAAACAGATGATTTACATTGTAATAATATTTCACAATATTACTGTTTTTTTGGTATTTTAAATCAAATAAATGCAGCCTTGGTGAGCAGAAGAGACTTATTTTAAAAACGTTAAAAATCTTACCGATCCAAAACTTCCAAAGTTCCAATTAAAAATTTAATAAAATTGCATTTCTTCTGTATACTCTACAAAATCATTGTCCAGTAATATAAACAACTCTGACACAACGAATCTTGAGAAACACACTCACGCAGTAACACACTGACGTGCCTCTCCGCTACATGATCCGAGAAAAGCTTCATGAGATCGTCCCGCAGGTCTCGGTTCAGCTTGGTCTCAATGTAGAACTTGTTCTTTAACACAGTTATGTTCAAAAGGCAGACGCATTAATAGAGAATTCAAATGATCTGATAAGATCGAATCCAAAAACAATGACTATTTGCATGTTACCATATAGATGAAGACGGGAACGATGCAGTGAAGGGCGGCTGTGTACTGAGTCAGAGCCACGTTGAAGTTCTCAATCAACTGTTCTGGAGGACTGGCCTTTAGAAGAGATGAGATTTCATTTCATTCATTTATTTTATTTGATAGGGACGATGCTCATTGATCAACAAACAAGTTACTTGCTGTAAACAAGCCAGAGTTAGCTACAAGTGCTAGTTTCCATCTGTTGTCCCTAGCCAGATCTTAACAGGCACCCTAAAATACAAAAGTCAATAAAAATACACTATAAATGTAATAAATACAGCAGGAATTTTAAAACAATATGAGCCTACCCTCAAACAGACAATAGATTGCTCACCTCACCCTCAACATAATTACAGATGAACAGTTTTATTCGGATGGACTGGATTCTCTGATCAGTTTCATTACGAGTAGTGGCTATTAATACAATTAATAAACTAAAAAAATATACGTTTGAAGAAAAAAAAAAAGAGGTCATTTTAAATACATTTTTTTATTATTATCATTTTTTTTTTTACAAAAATTACACATTTATAAAAATATTAATAAAATAGAAAATCAAATAAAAAATAATAAGTTTTTAGAAAGTAATTTTTGTGTGGACATTTATAATTACACGTTATTTAATTTAAGCATGTATTTTTATTTTTCTAAAAACAAATAAAAAGTCTTAATAAAATAATTTTATTTTATTATTTTAAATGTGTTAATAAAAATCACTTTTAAAATAGTTATTATTTATGCATGGATTATTTTGCTTCTTTTATTTAAAATTACATTTTGCCATGTATAAAAATGTGTTATATTAAAATGTTATTAAAAATGACTTTAAAAAATATATTTATGCATGTATTATTTTGGTTCTTTTATCTTAAAATCATATTGTGCCATGTATAATTTATTTTTTATTTTTAATGCAATAAAAATGGTCTTTAAATATATATTTATGCATGTACTATTTAGCTTCTTTTATCTAAAAATATATTGTGCCATGTATAAAAATGTGTTATTTGAAATGCAATACAAATTCTGTCTTTAAACAATTTATTTATGCACGTATTATTTTGCTTCTTTTATTTTAAATTGTATTTTGTCATGTATAAAAAGTTATTTTAAATGTGTTATTAAAAAAAAATGTATTATGCACATATATATATATATATATATGCATGCATGCATCACTTTGCTTCTTTAATCTAAAAATCATTTATCAATAGATCAATGTAAAAATCACAAGCACTTCATTTGAATGTGAATGTGTGTCGCAGTATGTGTTTTAAAAGTGCACTTGAACACTGTGGATGCACTGACCTGTAGCTCAGAAGACACTTGCTC